AAAACTTCTGCCCTAATTAATGTGGGTTTTTGAAACTATAATAAGTGAAATGTATCAATGGCAGATCTCGTCAATTACTTTCAAAAATATTTATTTTTAACATTTTCAAATATGTCTGCCACAATGTTGAACGCGAGGTAATGTTCAGCCATTATTATTTTCCGTTCACAATAATAATATATTTCAAAATATCAAAACGGCAAACGTCGTCAAATGCATTAGAATTAGAATTACTAAAAAATTGATACCTGTCCTACCTGCACACTCACCGCGTCCACAACTTTGGCATCGTCCATAGAATATCTATGGACGATGACTTTGGGCTTAGTGAGGTCCCATATCATGTACGGTAGGTATAGGGGCCTCAATGTCCAAATACATGCAGGTAGCCGCTCACTGGCTCTTAGACTAAAAGGGTCAATACTCTCATCACTAACGGACCGTATCGAAAAACTGATGCAGTCAACGTAAATTTGGCAAGTGACTTTTTATTCCACGGGCACTTCTGCAACAATCCGTAGAATCTATTGAGGAAAATTTCAACCCTAAATCCTTCCAGATGTACAATAGGTTAAACTGTAATATTTCCACAAAAATTTGTCATATAAATGTCCAGGGTTTGTTAAATAATTATAAATTAACTGAATTGTTTTTGAAGGCAAATAATATTGACGTCCTTTGCTTATCGGAGCATTGGCTTAAGGATGACCATTCTGTAAATAATTCATATTTTGGTAACTATGAAATGGCATCTATCTATGCTAGAAAAAATAAAAAACGGGGTGGTGGTGGGGCAATCATTTTCAGAAATAGATCCAATTAAAAAGATATTAATTGAAACTGAAATTGAAATTTGTGCTATTCGCTACTATATAAATGATACAAAAATTGTTATTTTAACAGGGTATAGACCACCTGGCGGTAAAATTAACATTTTCATGGAATGCCTAACGCAGACACTCCACCTTGCATCTAAAATATCTGACTTCATAATACTGTGTGGTGATTTTAATATAAACTGTCATAAATCGGATCTAAATACCAAACTACTATCTGATATTTTCAATTCATACCAGATAAGCAATAACCCTCAAGGTGCCACTAGAATTTTCACAAATAAAAACGCGCACACTAGCTCAACCTGCATTGATTACATGGTGACCAAATTACATTCCCTCAACCAAAATGGGAATGTAATTTGATCCAACCATTCCCAAAATGGGAATGTAATTTGATCCAACCAAATATAGCCAATCATCTGGTATATGAAGAAATAAATACTGTATGCAATAAGAAAAACAAAATATCTTATATCGAGAGGCGTAGTTTATGCGATGACAATATGGCCGAACTACAACATCGGTTAACTCGTGAAGATTTGTCCCAAATTTTTTATTTACAAATAAATGAAGCTTTTGAGTACTTCTACAACATACTGTTTTGGTGTTTCGATGTATCATGTCCAAAAAAGCGGTCCTATAGGAAATCCTACTAGAAAAGCTGGATAACTTTTTGAGTCTAAAATAAACCAATCAGAAAACAAAACTAGAGAGACTTGACAGATAATAAATAAAGAGTTAGGAAGAAGCACAAACAACTCGAAGAAACAATAACTCTTAAACAAGATGATGGGTCTACAATTGACTCCGAGGAAGTAACTGAACTATTTTCTGAATATTTCTCAAATGCAGCTGAAAATTCCGTATCAAATCACTTCGGGCAAAACTTGTCTCTACCCTGCACTGTTACTGAAAAATAACCATTATTAAACCGTTCCAATTCTATCCGGTTACGGAATATGAGATATCGAATGCCCTATCAGAAATGAAAAACAAAAAACGGCAGGTTTTGATGAACTATCAATTGTAACAATTAAGAAAATATTACCTTCTACAGTCGTTCCTTTAACATACTTAATGAATCAATCTCTAATACAAGGATACTTTCCAGCAGTTCTGAAAAAAAAACACTCGTTATACCTGTATTTAAAAAAGGAAACCCCACAGAAAGGGACAACTATAGGCAAATATCTTTGTTATGCTCGATATCAAAATTATTTAAAAAAGTTGTAGCACTTAGGGTTATGGATCATTTGGAATCAAATAGGCTGCTACGTATGTCTTAGCATGGTTTCAGGAGAAATAAATCTATAGAAACAGCTTCCTATCATCTTCTGAATTATATTCACACAGAGATTTATGAAAAAAAAAATTGTGATCTCACTGTTTTTCGACTTATCAAAAGCGTTTGATACAATATGCGCGGAATTTCTCATGAAACAACTGTCAATACTCAGGTTTCCACGAAATATAATGAATTGGATACACTCCTATATGACAAACAGAGTAATGGTTGTAATCTGCAATGGAGCGACATCTGAGTCGAAGTCGGTAAAAATCGGGCTGCCACAGGGCTCTGTTCTAGGGGCTCTGTTCTAGGACCTCTACTGTTTCTTCTCTATGTTAATGATCTTCCTCAACATATAAAGGGAGGCTACGTCACAATGTTTGCTGATGATACAACGATAACTATAGCAGACAATAATGCTGAGCAACTCATCAGCAAATCTGAACATATTATTGATCAGTTCAGTACCTGGTGCCAAAGAAATAAGCTCATTCTAAATACTTCTAAATCGATCAGTGTTAACTTTCACTTCAGAAGAAATATTCCAATTGGTCGACACTCTAGCTATGATATTAAAACTTCTGAAGAAATAAAATTTTCAGGGACCTACCTAGACGCCAATCTAAATTGGGAAAGGCAGGTGGACTATATATGTGCTGAGTTAAATAGAGCATATTATGCCATAAAACAGCTGAAATCCTGTTTGGATGAAACTGGCTTACTCAGCATATATTATGCCATGGCCTACCTTCATATAAGTCTGAATATTATGGCTTGGGGCAAAGCAAGGGATTTTTTCAGAGTCTTTATAACACAGAAACGCATCATAAGGCTAATCTTCAATATGGATTTCCGGGAGAGCTGCCGGCCATTCTTTATAGACAAAAAATATTGACAGCACCATCCATCTTCATTCTTAAATGTATTTCATTTGTTAGGCAAAACAATAAATTATATGATTAGACTGCTTCAGATCACAGTCATAATACAAGGAATGGTGATCTTCCAAAAATCCCACAGCAGACAAGCAAGACAGTGTGATCAAATCATCGCCAGAACTTATAGAAAAATCAACCAAATGTATCCTGAATTAACACCAATGAACGAGAGGAAGTTTGTAAGATTACAAAATGATTTCCCTAACTATGGCTCCATGTTAAAAGCGAAAGGCTATGTTTTGAAGCATATTTAGCACAATTCATTTTTTATCTCGAAAACAGATAGAGATAGGTATAGGACATCGTCAACAAAAAAGTATTAAAATACCAGAGCGATTCCAAAAATGTATTAATATACTGGGTGTTCCATTTAAAAAAATAGAGTTGCTAGGACTTTTTGATGGAAGCGGCAACGCCGCAATGCTGAAAATATTTTAGATCGATAGAACAGATAAGGAAAGGTGAAATTTTCAGAAAAATCATGCTTTGCGTTTTCCAGAAACGTCTAACCTACCATCGACCGTGAGTCACGCTGTATACCCAAGTGTATCAAAAATGGTGAATAAATATTATTATTATGCAAAATTATCCAGGAATTCATTACCAAAAATGATTGCCGAGGTAACAAACGTCATAAAGAAATGGAACAAAATACTTACCCCTCAACTGAAACGGAACTTACAAATTTCCAACACAACGGCCATTACTTGATGAAGAACCATAGTAATTTCATAAACTACGCACCTTACTATTTGATCTCCACAAACTTTATTTAAAGAAATATATCACGACATGTTTCGCTAACATGGTAGTAAGGGGTAGTTTATGAAACAACCCAACGGTGTCAAAACTATATTGCCTTCCTAAAATCCACATACCGGGAAAATCTCCTACCTACCACATGGCAGAATTTCTTGCCTATTGCGGAATCAGGTTTTGAATAGTCTGATCAACTATCTATACTAATATGGCTCTTTCACGCCTAAACGACTGAACGGATTTATATGAAACTCTACCTCTACATAAATACAGCTTGTACATCAGAATAACATTCTTGCACCTTGAGAGCTATACAGTGCGCTGCCTATACCGTTGGAGTTACATGCAGATAATGTGCCGTAAGATTGTTCATCTTAAATAGTTCTAAATAAAAGTCCGCGATAGCATATATCTACCTCTTGTGTGGCAGCCACTATATGCAAAATACTGAGCCAGAAATACAATTAAATTGTATACTTTTTTCATAATGCACATTTGACAATATCAGTCAAATTCTTATGAAAATGGATACAATTATCGTTTTACACTAAGTAATTTGGACGAATTATTTGAAAGTTATCACGATAAGATTAATGCAGTAAGCCATTACGCGCACATCTACTGTAAGAAGATGAAGGACGATGCGCAGGGGTAGAGGAGCGACTTAAGCAATGAAGCGTAATCGCCAAGAACACGACCCGAACGCTAGCAGACGCGTGAGGGCAGACGTCGTTGACGGTTGTGTTACTTTGTCGAATTTCTTTATAGGTAACATAATTATATTCTCAGTTTGCATATTTTTCCAGTTAGTGTATTTTCAAAGTAAAAATATAAATTACTAGCGGATGCCCGCTCTTATATTTACGTACAGCCGAAGCTACTCGACCTAGAATCTTGAAATTTGCAGGTAGGTCCTTTGTATAGCGTGACAAACCGAATTCTACGCGGGCGAAGCCGCAGGCAACAACTAGTCATTCATATTATTGTTTATCACTACTCCATCTTAACATACATCAGCTTCATTTTTTCGAAAATGTAACAACTCAATGTTTCTTTTTCTCTTTTCGTTTTTTTTGCTCGAATACCGTTATACATTTGGAATAACCGCACAAGTATGACTTTGCGAGTATCTCTGTTTATTCAGAAGTACTGTATTAATCTAAGGAAATGTATTTAATAATCTATGAGCCTTTCAATAAAGGTTTTTTTCACCGAAGTTTGCGCTGGTCAGGCCCTATCCCCCGAAGTTCCAATACATTCGAGAAGGCGCGCCAGAATTGTCAACCAACGACCACTCCCTACGCCGGAGGGGCAAGTGATCATTAGGTTCGAGAATTAAGTGCCTATAGTAAGCGCAGTGAGCTAAGAATGAATATTAATATTCAAGAAACCTTCATTGTGAGATTTCCACTAAATAGTTTCACAAAAACGCAAAACGTGTTTCACTATACAATAGATTCTTCAGCCGGTCTATATATATACGCCTATATACTCCATCACATAAATTCAATATAATGTATTATCTCTTAGTCTGCAGACATAGTACTGTTGCTAGGGGTTGGAAATGTGAAAGAAGATACGTGTTTGCCAGACAGAGTAATGGCAGAAGGAAGAAGAGTCTACGATTTAGCCAAAGAATGTTCTATAACTGCTCCGAGGTCGATCATTGTTGTGGCCGTACCACCAGTTTCCGTTACAACCCCTTTGGTGGCGAGTGTTTTCAAAAAAACCCATTGGTATCACCCCGGTAGAATTCTCGGTTCGGCAGCAATAGCACAGGTATTAAATGAAATCATCTACAAAATTTTTACTGATCAATTCATAGATATTGCTAGTTTGAATTATTTATTTTATTGTATATAAGTGTGTTAATCTATAAAAGTACATTAATATCTTAATATTAGGTTGTATCAAAAGTTTTGTTTGTGCATTTCTTTTATGTCCTCTCCCCCCTTTCATTTTTGAACTGGTCAACTCGAAAAATTGAAATTTGGGATAATGAAATTAATGCGTGAATACTTTATTTTGAAGTGAAATTGACAGATGAAACTTTCAAGATGACGACTGGGCGCCATCTGGGAAAAAATTTAATGGAATGGGAGGTCTTGTGACACATCATTTTGAAGCTCCTGACGACTTCACAACCCTGGAATATGAAGTCAATATCTTCACCTACTACAAAATGACGGAACATTTAATAATTTCCTGAAGACAAACATATTAATATGGATATTTTTAGAAATATTCCTTTTTATCGGTCATATGGCGATTCCAACAACCCGATAACGTTTGTTAAGTTATTTTTTGTTTATGAGAACGTCAAAAAATGTCAATACGACAATGAACATCATTGTTCAGTTAGAATATTCTCATTTAGTTTTCGCTTTTACCAGTAGAAAGGTACCACGTCAACAATCTCTGAAATGGTCAATTCTCGTCCATTGGATGAAAAACTTGAAACGATTTTTTTTACGCAACTTTCACGAGACCGAAAAGATTTCCAATGATTGTTTTCCGAATCGTTCTATCTATAGAAAATATTTGAGGGAACTTGTATCCAAATTCACATTTGTCCATACCGGAAAAACAGCAACTGCAAATAATTGGTGAGATGGTAGTAAACTCTGAACAGTCTACTTATTCCGTCGCGAATGTTTGTGAGGTGTCTCCTTCTACTGTGTGGATACTTTTGAAGAGGAATAGATATCATCCATACAAAATTGAAATAGTACATCAATTAACTGAAGATGACCCTGATCGAAAAACAGAATTTTGGGAAATCATGACGGAAACCATTGCAAGGCTTCCTACCTATCTCCACAATATTTGTTTCAGTGACGGATGTACATTTTTTTAACGGCAATGTTCACAGACAAAATTGCCGTTATTGGAGTGATACCAACCCTCACCTTTTTCGGGAAACACATACCCAATATCCAGAAAAAGTTAACATTCATGACATTCAAAGGGACAAACCTTTTGAAACAATCATAACTATTACAATTTTCCTCAACAAACAATGAGTAAAAAGCAATATGAAATTTTCATCATGAAAAACTCATCCAGCCTGGTATCAATCTGTTCACGGAGTGTCTGAATAAATACGCTCTGGAGAAAAAATGAGTGTATTTATATAAACATTTTTGATTCAATAACTTGTTCATCCTCAGATCAAAGCCAATACGTTAGTGGGTCGCTATCAAGACTTGAATCCTTTCATTTGTAAAGTGCCAATCATAGGAGGACCAGATATTGACCTTGCGGTACCCCTGTTCAGCAGAGCTAAACCCGTAGAATTGACTGACAAGTAAGTTCTAATGTCGTAGTCGTTTTTTAGTATTAGCAATTATAATGGGATAAGTTCAGTGTTTAGCAACGTTTTGCACCCTATTAGAGATAATATGTTTTTGGAGCAATCAACTTTTTGTTATGGAGCCATTCAGGTAATACTGGAAGTTATGGTGGAATAAGTTATGAACTAGTTTTTTTTATGAGTCAGTTCATTTGTATGAAATAACATTTGATTTCTTCATTACCCCATTCTGTATTCATTGTAATAATAAATATATGTACTTTTTTTCAGAGCAGCCCATATTCTGATGGCCAAATTCAGAGGGGTTGAAATTGACGAATTCCCCAAAAAGACGGGCAGACACAATTTTGTAGAGAACTGTCCACATGTCGAGGCCTATGCGTTGAATAATATGATAACAGCCATAGCCTTAGGTATTTGTGGAGATAAAGAAGCCTTTTATAATGCACTCATAAGAACGAACTCTGTAGAAACTTGCCAGTAAGTATCAGTGATTAGGCCAGAGTAGGCTGAACTTCGCAGAAAAAACCAACACAGGCTATGTTGCACGTTATTCCGTACAGTTTGAATATTTAAAACCAGACTTATAATAATAATAATAATAGTAATAAATATTTTAATACCAAAAATCATTAAGTGGAGACAAAGTAACATGCATATTGACAAAAAAAAACATACTGAGACTAACACAATGAATAAGAATGGCAAACCTTGGTTCAACAAAAATTGCGAGCAAACTGTGGCCTCCAAAAATCTCGCCTACTGGCAGGGCGCAAAAATCCCAGTGTCGAAAACCGAACTAGGTTTATTAATGCTCGCAACAGCTACAAACTTAGGATAAATGAAAGCTAAGAACTTCAAAATCAAAAAATTAGGGATAAACTGCCTGTCAATCCCAACGGGACTAGATCCTTCTGGTCGGTAGCTGAACTTGTTGATCAGAACTTTACAAAATCCACAATTCCACCACTAACACAAGCGGATAGCTCAATTGGAACAACAGCCATAGAAAAAGCGAATCTACTAGCTGAACAATTTGCGTCCCACTACACAGACGATTTTCTGGCACCACCCACTTTTTGGAAAAAATAGCAATCATAATATGAATTCATTCAAAAATATATCATTTTTGTTACCATTTGAGTAATAGAGCTAGGGAAGTACGACGCCATTCCTTATGAAAAAACGCGTGGAAATTTGAGCTGGTCCATTTTGTCGATTTTACGACCTTCGACCTTCGACCATCGCCCAGATTCACGGAAGACCTGCTAAACCACAACCGTGAAGTTGTAAGGGTAGTAACGGGGCATAGCCGACTCAGGAAACATATGAGCAACACGGGTCTGACAGAATAAACCCAATGCAGGTTCTGTCAAGAAGAGGAAGAAACCGCACTGCATGTACTATGTGAATGCAAAGCGATACCAAGGCTGAGACAAGCAAGATGCGGGGAAGAAAAATCAGAGGCTACCAGCTATATGAAGGGGTCGGTGTCAAGGCTATGGAGTCTCATCAAAGAGATCAAGCTACACAATGAGCTCTAACAACCAAAAAGCTTCACAAAAAGGTCGCAGTGAATCAGGCCATGGACCATCTTTCCGACAATCTAACATAATCTGTTTCAAATCTGTTTTTTCCGTTAATCAGCTGCCGCCTCCATACGAACGACAACTCCCAGAAGTTGAGAAACTTGTGCGAGCTAAGGACTAACGAGGTCTTACCTTTTAACGTGTGATTCCTAACACGGATTTAAGACGGATCACATAAAAAAACTTGGGCGTCATTTTCAACAGTAAAATGAGATGTATGAGTAACACAGGCCACACAATTAATAAATGTAACAGAATTATGGGCTATAACAAAAACATGTGTAGAACAAGCAATCGAAACGGTTTAAATTGCATTTATTTATAGTAGGTAAGCTGAATTTTGCAAGCATGATCTGAAACCCCCTGCATGAGTTCATAAAATACGTCTGAAAATCACCCGAAATAAGTACATACGATTCATGCATTTCAGAGTAAAAAATACTTCCATTTATGTCATTATGTGTGGAATATAACATGGAATATAACATAACAACTAAGGTCCGCCATGGCTTATCTGGGTGGAGGAGCGTATCCGGAACGTCCAATTTTCCATGAAGCTGGCGAATAAATCACGCTAAATTCGATCGATGATAATAATAATAATGATCTGCCCTGCAGAGTTCATCAGCTGCTCGGGTAGCTGATGAACTCGGTTTAGTTTTTGACACTCAACGAGGTGATCACAACTCTGTCACCGAGTTGGAACCTGTTCAGCAAAAAGCTCAGATAAAAGCCGCAGGAATCACCTCACTTTTGCGGAAACACAAGGATAATCCAATATATGGGGTCTTCTTGAATAACATTGGAGACCTTGGCTTATAAAAGCGCCTTACTTCCGCTTTCTTCAGGTCGAGTGGGCTGAAGTCCAAAACAGAGGGGTTTATCATAGCTTGCCAGGATGGTGTCTTCAACACCTTAGTCTACTGCAGTCGCGTGATAGGTACAGAGGATCCTACAGGGCCTGCCGTGAGGCGCCCGAGACCCTAATGCACTTGCTACCAGCATGTCCAGCATATGCGGTCTCGACCTATATCCATCGATATAAAGCCACCCTGAGAGTGCTATATTACAATCAATCACGCTTCGGGAAAAAATGAATCCGTTGAGGAGAACGAGAAGTGACGAATCTATTGAGACTATTCGTTTCCCACCCTCAGGCTCATACAAGCTCCTGGCGAGACAAATATCGTCCGAAAAGAGAAGGAAAATCGGATAAAATATCAAGATTTTCTCTTCAAACTCCGTAGATTCTATCTAGGCCACTCTGTTGAGATGGTTGTTCTGATTATTGGAGTCCTTGGTGGAATTATGCCCTATTTACCCTCGAATCTTGAAATTATACCGGCTTGCCGCACTAAGGCAGAAATCTTAGCCGGACAGATGCAGAAGGCTGTCCTTCTCGGCTCATTGCGCTCGTTGGTTGCTAATGTTGACGCGCCCTCCCGAATGTATCGGGGCTTCCGGGGATAGCAAACTACGGTTTAAAAAAAATAGACGACTACATATATACTGTGAATTTTTCCTGAAGCAAAAGGCGAAGTTCAGCTCATATGATGATGAAAATTCAGCTTATAAACTGTTCTTCCCCTTCAAATTCAAATCAGTAGATGAAGAAGGCTGGTACGAGCCCATTTCAAGGTAGCCCGTCGTTGGTAAATGTTTGAAAGGGATACTTTAGTGAGTGGAAGAGAGACACGTCTAACGTAATCGATGTAGAGAAAGATGGAATGAGTATCGGAGAGATTAAAAGATAAGAGCGTAGACTTGGGCCACCTTGGGATATCGCCTCACCGCTCGGGCCTTCTTAGGGTTTCACCCCTGAGCCCCACTGGACATTACTAAACCCAGAAGATTCTTACAAAGTATAATACTTGTAGTATGGCAATGTCATATTATCATTATTATGAAGGAATGATTTTTCACATTCCAAAATGTGAATGGAAGTGATGGTTGAGATCCTCTGCATACTAGTGGATTTCCATGTTTTCATTACTTTAGTAAGGTCAAAAGTAAATAAAGCAAACAGAAGTGGGCCAAGGTCACTACCTTGAGGAACTCTGAAGGATGCTATTCCAAAACCCGACGTTGAAATCATTATCGATCCTAACTGTTCGTAATCTTTCGTATAAAAAGTCTGCAAACCAAGATAATGTAGCTTTGCAATCAGCTGTTGCCTTATCCTGATCCAGAAGAACTAGAAATGTGTGGTATGATTCATTCCGGGTCGTGACTATATCTATGTCAAAATCTGTTTTATCCAAAATGGGCCTCAAATCGTTAAAAGTAGATTGATTAGATATTTCAAGTGATGGTAATACATCTACTGATTTCCAGAAACCTGGAAACACTATTGGTCCCAAGGAACTATTGAAAATATTCCTCGCTACCTCAATAGAAAGTGGAAATACTAATGTAATCATTTTTAGTTGATTTCATCAACACTGAACATCTGATTTGACGTTATTAATAAATTTCTGAAGAAGCCAATCAATTCTGTATCTACACTGGAGTTACCTGCCACATCAAGAGATTACTCATTGATTTTATGAGGTTCTTCAGGAACAGCTTGGATGTTTTTGGTTTTTGTACAATCGCTTCAATCTTTCAAGCTATTCCAATGCCTTCTGGAGTTGGTTCTATTAATTTCTGATGTGAATTATACTCAGACTTTTTTCTGGCCGAACTGCTTTCTTCAGAAGATTCTTTAGTGTCATAAAATATTGTTTTTCAGTGTCGCATTTATTTTCAATTAATTTTAAAATTTTTCAATTGAATCATTTTCAAGTTATAGGTTATAAATGGTTTCTGGATCAAACAGTTCATATTTGTGGATCGTATTCATGAAAAACAGAAACTATTTTAAACATCATTCAAATGAAGTTTGATCAATATTTGTCTGTACATGAAAGATATTTGAGAAAAAGTATCATTAGATCTTTTGTTGTGTGTTTGTCTGTGCGTTTGTGCGCGCTAATCTTAAAAACGATTGGGAGGCAGTTTCCACTTATGTATTATAGTAAGTTCTACTCAATATTTGGAGTTTGACTCATTTCAATCGGTTCATAAATAGAAAAGTTAAATTAATTTAAAGAGTCACGCCAAGTTGGAAAAAATACTATAAAAATACTGAGAAACCCGCAAATGAAGTTGCAGGCAATCGTTACTGTGACAATATTTTTAATTATTGATATATCTTTCCTCATCTCGGAATGAAGAACGACAAGTGATTCTTCTATGTAGTATTTCCATCGTATTCGAAAAAAACAATGGAATAACGAATGCGTCTCGAAAATTCAACATCTCCTTGGTTCCACTGAGACTGAGCTAAAGGCGAATTTCCACCAAACTGACAAAACCACAACAAAACAAAAACTTGAGTGGTCAAAATAAGAAACATTTTGAAAATTTTGTGTCGCGAGCAACTGTTTTCGTCAACAACGAAATGACCCGTCGGCAGACAGAAAAATCAAAATGTTCCGGTGTTTTGTCTGTTTTGGTAAACAGAGTTCGCCATGTGAAAACCGTCGGCGACAAGCAACAAATTCAGTTCACTATATTGTTTTGGTGTGTGATTTAATGTTATTTTTATTCTGTTTGAAAATTTTTCGTTTCAGTACATTCCACAAGTTCTCAAATTCGTGATTCGATTCCTGATTCTTAGAAAATTTCGAAACGATGATCTCAGTTCCATTCATTCGCAACTCCGTACTCGCTTGGCTAATCAACAAGAGGATTCCATTCGCTGTTTCACCCATTCATCATTCATCCAAAATAATGAAATAACTCCTTTCGAAACTTAAATTAAATATTTATTGTAACGAAATGGGGAAAATACTTCAGGAATAAACTTACACTAAAATGTAATGCTATCTCTGTCTGATCTTGACCTCCCTCAATATTTATGAAGATATATAACGCTGATATTGCAACTTTGATCCGGTCACTGTACTAAGGTAAATAGCTCAGTATGCAATCTGTGCAAGGTTTTCGTATTTGGAGATTGTTTTATATTTCTATATCCTGTGATCGTATCAATTTCGATGTCTATGAACTCGGAATATTAAAAGATGGAATTCTGAATACTGAGGAAATACTGAAGCTGAGGTTGGAACATCTTTCAATTCTTGTATTCGCTTAAATGAATTTGAATTATTTCATGATTGTTTTCCATATTTGACACTATGTTATCATTTATCAAGTCTACCATAATTTTATCCGTTACATAATCGTTCCGTCTACTTGGTTTTTATCTCTTTCGCTCGGTTTGCTCAAAAAATTTGATCATAAAAAATTTGGAGCCCGTTACAAAAACTAACCGTTCGTATAGTGAAATGATAGAAAATATTTCAGAACAAAACACGCGCCTCAGGCTAGTTTGTTTTCGAAACTAAAACACTTTTTCTGTTTGTGTTTTTGAAAACGATACTAGTCGCAAGCGAGTCGGTTTGGTAGAAATCCGCCTTAAGCTCTTGTTCATCAAAGCACAGCACTTCATTGTAGAACATAATTATATTGTCTTCATTCTTTTTCCAGACACCTAGTGACGACGCTCCAATTTTCTCGAGGAGGAGTTGTTCATAATCATGGCGTCCCGCAACTGACAAAACTCGAATTGAGAGTGTTCGAGAAAGCTTTGTTGGAGATGAAAGAGCGGGAACAAATAGCTGCTGAAATGCTAGACTACATCGAAGGGAAATGTGACGTGCCTCCTTTCAAAATAAAGGACTTGAACATAAAGAAAACCTTGCAGCAAACTGTCATTCGTTGTTGATGAGAAAAGTGTTGATTGAAATAATAAAAGGGCGTTCGTCTTTTATTAGTGAATGTTTTTGTAACAATGGGTTTTGTACTTCGAAACACTGCAACAGAACAATTATTTCACCAATAGATATTAAGAATAATAATATAAGTTTATTGATGACATTTTATGATATATACATTGAAAATAATAAATAAATTAATACTAACCTTGAGAAGTGAAACTTATGTCAAGGTAAGTCATTCACATACAAAGTGTATGAACATATGTGAAAAAAAGAAAATAACATTATGAATATACAGTACGATGCAAATGTATGGAATAAATTCGATATTTACAAAATGAGCGTCTTTCGGAAGAAATCCAAAAACAGGTCAACTTTAATTTTTGACGGCCCATCTCATGATATTCATATGAAAGACGTTTCGTCACCGGTGTTGGCGTGATGACGTAATCGACAATTTTTTTAAATGCAAACAGGGGTCATGTGGCACCTCATTCAAAAGGTCTACTAATCATCTATTCAACGGTATAACCATGCCAATATTCATTTATACAAGATGAACCAAAACATGTTATTTATTGAAGTACAATAAAATTATAATAAATGTTCAAATTGATGACCTTCAGCTATGATGCAATGTGAAAGCCGGGCACTGAATTCATTTCTAACGTTTCCGAGAACTTCGGGGGTTATTTGTGCAATCTCCGCTCTGATGCGTTCCTTCAACTCTTCTAAATCATTTGGTCGATTTTGGTAAACTTTACTCTTCAAGTATCCCCATAAAAAAANTTATTTTTAAATTCGAATAAGCCAAATATTTCTGCACGAATGAATATATAACTTTAGCAAACTATCTGTCTACACAAAAATTTCTAGAGAGGATTGATCTGGTCAAAGTGCAGGCTGTTTTTGAAAACATTACATTCAAAAAATATCGTTGATGAGAATGCAAAACACCTTTTTGTGATTACTTAAAAACGAAATTTCCTGGACACGAATATACTTGAAAAACACATTTTTTGGAATACAATTGTCCAAATAACGATATCCAATTTTTTTACTGAATATTTCCATTAGGTTTCAATAAAAAAATAATTGTTCACGTTGAATGTAACAAAGTAAAACAAAAATAAACAGAAGAGAACGAAAACAAAAAACGATGAAATCAAAGCAATTTTCCTATTTAGTACCAGAATATACAGTGTGCGGCATCAAAAAGAAACGGGGGGGACATCTTTCCATCATAACTTCTACTAGATGTGACGGATCATTGAAAAGAAAATTTCTGAGAAAATTCATCAATATGAGTGTTCACTACGTAGATTTTCTTTATGACGCCTTCATGCAGGAAAAACAACTGTTCCCTATTCAATAATCATAATAATAATAGCTTTCATTCAAAGGTTACTCAGTACAAGAGCTGCTTACCTAACCTAACAAATAGCAGAATTCAACACCTGCACCTGATGGATCAAGGCAGGAATTGCTCTTCCATCTAACCAGCAACAGCTAACTCATATTATTTCAAAATATTTTGTCTCTGCCTGTCAGACTTCAATAGTCCTGTACCATAAAATAGTGGTTTGAAAAACTAAAAAAAAAAAACTATTTAATGGCAACACAAACTAAAAAATGTAAAATAATTCGAAACTAATTTAACATTGTGTTTAACATCGATAATAAGCCCTATGGCTTGTTGTAACTAATGATTTTAAATAAGTCTGAAATCTGAATAAATCTCTTCACACCAAAATCAATTCTGTTGTAAAAAAGCGTGGAATGCTTTGAATTATATTTTCATTATGGCTCCAATCCGACAAACAGCTCCTAAACAAGTATTTAATAATTTCCTCACTGTGTGAGGAAATTATTTAATCCTAGTAATGCTGATCAAGATAATATGAAAAATTTACGAAATTATTGTTTAAAGTTAGTCAAAATCAAGTCCAAAGGAGTCGGTTACAAACAAACATACAAGTAAAGCTCATAAACGTTTCAAAAACATACCCAAAAAATGGAAATTTGTGCATAACTGGAAATTACCTTAATTCACAGTGCATCTGACATTTTGAAGACGTCAGAACCCCACGAGAGGGCACCAAAATGAAAAGTTACGTAGTGAACAATTAGATGGCTGAAATCTTTACAAAATTACTTTTCCAATGATCTGTCACTTTCCCTATTCAAATTATAAGGGTGATGGTCACGAAGAGGCAGGAGAAAAGACATGACAATTTATGTTATGGTAGAAAGAGGTCCCCTTCGAATTCAAAATCGATATATTTTGCGTTTTTCCTCAACAAATATGTCATCAATCAAATTGACGTATTTAGGGGATGAGGGAAACTCATTGTACACCTAGTGTGAAATAAGTTTACACTCAGTGTACACTAAGTGTAGTCTCAGTGTACTCTCAGGTTATGCTAAGTGTACTTCATCTTCTGAAGATGCCAACTTGGTTGGTAAAATAAGCGTCGAGCGGTTCTGGTGTTTAGTAACAGTGCTTGTTTTGAATTTTTCCTTCCGTGTATAAAAGGAAGTTGAATATGAAAACATGAATATTTTTTGTTACTTTTGATGCTACAAATAAAAACATTTGTTTCAGACAAACTTATCGAAGCTAAAAACATTCTTTCACAACTTTACTACTCGAGTCATTGATTTTAAAATAAATCCATTAAGTTTCCTATGTTTCTTGACACAAGGACTATACATACTGAATATTCTTTGACCCGAATTTCTAAAATAATCGTAGATCTACCAACACAGCATCTTGCTTTTCCGAAAAGATAAAGTTTATTTGAAAACTTTATCGTGCGAAGTTTGTAACTGTAAATTTCCACCCTACAGAACACCGTCCCCCGAGTCAAATATTTTCCGCGCGCCACCGAGAATGGAAAGATATACGGTCTTGGCAAATCCCCGGATGCCTGTAGAGTCATTAAATACGACGTCTCCCAAAGAATATTATGTTTATTATTGTAGCTTCTGATATACAAACAACGAGAAGAGGATTACTGCGTGGACGTTTTGGGAAAACGGTTTCTGTAACAATGGGCTTTGTACCTTTGAATTATACGACAGAATAATAGATAAAATATTTAAATGTATGTTTTACAGTAATATGACCAATAGATGAATTTAAATATTCGATCCTCACCATTGGGATCTCGGAAACTATGAGAGATACGAAGATGGTTGATTTGGGGCAAAGTTGCGCACTTACCTGACTAACAAAATGCCATTGAGAAAGTTCTGAAATTCCGAGTATATCCGGAGGTATCCGGAAAAAAGAGAAATTTTGGTTTTATTTTTCGAAGGATTCGGTAATAAATTGCACTTCAACATTGCCACTTTTTCCCTGCTACATAATGGTGTTTTCAGATTTGCTATCCGACGTTTCGTCTTCCGGCCACCATCATCAACTTCATTTTTTCTTATGGACGCTACATTGGATTATCGAGTTTACGACTTCAACTGACCTCCGTGTAAATTTAATTCAGGAGCCAGTCTCCAGAAGAGATGGATGTCGAGTTTACGACTCCAATGGACCTCAGACTCCAACGGACCTCACTGTAAATTTAGTTCAGGAGCGAGTCTACAGAGGAGAGGGATGTGAAGTTTACGACTCCAACGGACCTCTCTGTAAATTTAGTTCAGGAGCAAGTCTACAGAGGAGATGGATGTCAAGTTTACGACTCCAAACCTCCCTGTAAATTTAGTTCTGGAGCGAGTCTACAGAAGAGACCTAACCTACATTGGATTCTTTCTATTTTGAATAGAACTAGATTTTACCTTTCTAATGATGTATCATAAGTTATCATTCTTTTTCGAAAAATTGGAGATATTGAAAAAAATTCATTCTTATCACAATAGGCTTTGACTTTGATGTTTCTAAATTTGAATCTCAATCTGTTACACTCGATGACATTTTGTTATTGTACAAGTCATTGAATTTTTGGCGAAAAATGGCTTTCACGAATGAAGAAATTAGATATATGATACAAATTTATTACAAATACGATAGAAACAGTGTTAGGACATCGTATTTTTTCATTGGCTTTTCAAACGAACCAAAGTTGGTGAGATTTTGATCCAATAACTTGAACATAATTTGATGTGGTTGTCGTCTTTCGGGATACAAGTTTAAATACATTTCCGATGTCCTAACACTGTTTCTATCGTATTTGTAATAAATTTCTATCATATCTCTTTTTTCTTCATTCGTGAAGGCCATTTTTCGTCAAAAATTCAATGACTTGTACAAATTGTCATTGAGTGTAACAAATTGAAAGTCAAATTTAGAAACATCAAAGTCAAAGCCTATTATGATAAGAATAATTTTTTTTCAATTTCTCCAATTTTTCGAAAAAGTATGATAAGTTATGATACATCATTAAAAGGTAAAATCTGGTTCTATTCAAAACAGAAAGAATCCAATATAGTGCCCATAAGAAAAAATAAAGTTGATAACGGTGGCCACCATTATCAGCAGGGAAAAGTGGCAATGTGGAAGTGCAATCAATTTATTTTGGAATAGTTAAAAAAATGAAGCCAGAAAAAAATAAAAATCATTTTTCAAAATTTCTGTTTTTTCCGGACATCTCCGGATATACTCGGAATTTCAGAACTTTCTCAACGGTAAATTGATAGTCAGGTAAATGCGCAATTTTGCCCCAATTAACCATCTATCTTCGTATCTCTCATAATTTCCGAGATCTCAATGGTAAAGATCGAATTTGAAACACCCTGTATCTGTATGAATAAATATTCAACTTCGGTATACTATCTGTCCACAAATATTTTTGGATATTTCTAGGGAACATAAATCTGGTCATAGTGCAGGCTGTTCAGTAAATATATATGTAAGTCTCGTATTTACAAGAGATTTTTGGAAAACATTCCATTGAAGAAATATCGTTGCTGAGCTTGTTTTTGCTAACTATAAAAAGGAAATTCCTGGACACGAATATACTTGAAAAACACATTTTTTGTAACACAATTGTTCAAATAACGATAACCAATAATTTTCCTCACTAAATCTTCTTAGTCGATAAAAAAAATAAACATGTTTCGACCTACCGAAATGAAAATGTCAAGATATACTATTTCGAAGGCAGCATTGATTTATCTGTGGAATGTCAAACTAGACAGATTTTATAACAAATAGCGTCTCAAACGTTTCATGAATCGAATGAATTGGACCAATAATAAGAATATTATATCAAATTTTACATTATATCATTTGAAAATTCAAAATGAATATATTTAAGTGAGATTTTCACTGAGCAGTTTACAAAATCGCAACACGTGTTTCACAATAGAGTAGTGATACCGACAAAATTCTACATAACTAGTGCTTCATTTAATATAACAACTTGAATTATATGAACTTCAGATGCTACAAATGCAACACGCATTTATATAGACGGCTCAAAAACCAAAGAAGGCTCAGGATGTGGAGTGTACTCCAGATCACTAAGCCTAAGGATTGAATGGGAAATGGGAAAAAATACCAGCGTGTTCCAAACAGAACTGGCTGGTATCTCAATCGCCACAAAAGAAATTACCAGGAAAGGAATTTCTGGCAAAAACATAACAATCGGATAGCAGACAAGCCTTATTAGCCTTGGTAAATAACTAAATTATCCTGAGGTGGATTAAAGGGCACGACAGGAGTACAGGTAATCGCATTGACGACATTTTAGCCAAGGAAGCGGCTGAACTGAAAATTTAGGACCGAGTGGCACCTAAGGCCTGATGACTTCGGCAATTGCGGAACTAGCCAAACGTCACACCAATGCTCAATCCCTAATGGGATGGGGTGAAATCAAAGGATGCAGTCTTGCCAGGATCACCCTGGGCGACCCTGGGACGCTGGCGCCGAAGAAATATCTGGCGATGACCAGGAAAAATCTACGCTCAACAGTAGAATTTCTGACTGGCCACTGTCAACTAAGGAAACACCTCCATAATATGGGGCTAGTGGACACACCTCTATGCAGGATGTGTGAACAGGAAGATGAAACTGCCAGGCATGTCCGCATGTGCGAATGTCCGGAGTTATCGTCAATAAGAGAGTGTATGCTCGGCGAGTCTTGGCCTACACCTACCGATATAAAGGAGATGTATCCCAGGGACCTGTCCACCTTCCTGGAAAGGGCATGATGGACGATGACCTAGGAGGACAACTACTCGGGAGGATGTACAATGAGTCACATGTGCTGTGGGCCTACACTCACCCTCCCTACTCTACATAAACAGAAAATATGAACATCTACCTATTCAAATATCTTCATTGAAAAATAGACCTATTAGAGGGAAAGTATTAAATCCCCTTTGGGTCATTCAGAATGTGGAATTGACCTTCAAATTCAAGAAACTACCCCTATGCTGTTTCATTCTCTGGGAAAACATTCTTTCTGTTTGACCAATATGAAGTTTTTGGCCAAATTCACCAAATCAGGTACTCCTGATCTATCTGACACCAAAGTTTTGTGTAAGATAGATCAGGAAAAGATATTGGTGTGTGTAAACAGGAAAAGATATTGGTGGATTTCCCAAAATAAATATGTCTTAGTTTTTTTTAAATAACGGAATCGATAATATCTACCTTGTAACCATTGTTTTTTTGTTTTTTGCGCATTCGATAGTCTATGAAGCATAGTATTGAACGCCGCTATGTATGACAATGTCCGTATAACATGGTTCAGTACACCCATTTCATTTTTCTGTACCAGTAAAACAGAATAAGATATAGTCTACGTATCTGTACTAGTATTAGAAACTGTTATTCAACTGATAATTATGAATTTCATTCGCAAAGGTTATCCATACACATTTCAGGTAGAAAAGGACTTACTCTACTTACTCAGTATTTTTTTCAAAATTTAATCAGAATATCGAATGCTTTTGATAGAATCACTAAAAAAATTACCAATGTTTATATTTTTTAATGATGCCAAACAATTTATCAACTTCTTATCTTCTACAAAATAGTATATTTCCTATAATGGTTATTAGTCTGGAACTGGATACATATGGCTATTCTCCAGGGATCAAAATTGGGGCCTTTTCTAATTCTGTTATGAACGATTTACGTAAAGGTTTGGAAAGTGAGTGCTTATTTTTCATGTGTTCTTGTTAATCTGAAAGAACAGATACTATGTAGAACTGTCCAGATATTCAGTCACAATTAGGCTTACTGACACAAGCTGGAAAAAAGGTTTCTATAATGAAAAATGAGAATTGAAACTTTCTGTGTTTTTTACCACTTTTATTTGTAACTAACGTTACTGTAGTTTCGTTCTATGAGGACATTTTCAAACTTATACATTATTTTCATTTTCCATGATGATTTCCTACCACGTAGTAACGTCTACATCCATCAATTTATCAGTTCCTATGAACTAATTCAACTTTTATCAAGAAATAATGTGCTTGTTCAACGAGCACGTTAAACACATTTACAAAACTTGTTTTTTTAAACTGAAATCCTTATACAAGTTTAAGTTCCAGCTTTTTCAAGAAACAAAGCTGAAATTAGTTCAATCATTGATTTATCCCCATATTGAATATTGCAGCTCAGTGTATTACAACTTCTTACCAGACTATAATAAACACAAACTTCAACGTATACAAAATGCTTGATTGAAACTTTCTGTGTTTTTTACCACTTTTATTTGTAACTAACGTTACTGTAGTTTCGTCCTATGAGGACATTTTCAAACTTATACATTATTTTCATTTTCCATGACGATTTCCTACCACGTAGTAACGTCTACATCCATCAATTTATCAGTTTCTATAAACTAATTCAACTTTTATCAAGAAATAATGTGAGATTAGATCATTGGGTCTTTTTCATTGACAATAATGTAAATAGATAAAAGTATTTACATTTTGTTCATGTCATTATTATCCCCAGGATAACTGAAGTACTAAAACAAGGTGATATTTCAGCATAATTATGATCTTTCAGAGATTTTTTTATGATACGGTAGAGACATTTCTGGTGTAAAATGAGATGATGCTAACATTATTAAGTTAGGTTAGAGATAGTGATTAATTTTTTTTATTCATTTTACTCCAGCGGATCCAATTCTGGACAAATTTTCACCACATTCTAGAAGTATAATACTATTCACGACACTTCTCACCAACTGTTTGTCAACAGGGATCAGGGGATTAAAACTAGCTAAAATAAACAATCTGCTGATAATGCTAATTTGGTTGGTGAAGAGCGCATTGAAAGATGTCACCCCATTGGTGTTTGGAGTATCATATACCTTAAATTTACCGTTTCTGATGGTTCAAGTCAAAGCTTACACATCTCTAATGTAATAAAAAATACTCACAATTTTACTGTTCAAGTACATCAACTCGCGCTCAGCCAGTCGCCTGGTTGCATTTTCCTTCCTCTTTCGTTTGTATTGGTTGTACTTATAAAACAAATACATTCCCGGCAAGGCCAGAACTACAAACGGTTTCATGAGGGGGCTCTGTTTGGGTCCTTGGGGCATGTTGGTAACTGAAATTAGAAGAAAATACCAATTGTGAAAGTTTATAATGAAATGAGAGATTAGACCTATAAGGACACTACAATTTGTATACTCAAGTCTTGTGAGAAGTTGAATTGAATAATGTAGCATGGACATTTGTTGAGAAATTGAGAGTAATACTGAGTAAGTTATGAGGTTTGAAAGGTTATGATCTCAAAGGATTGGTAGAATAATTAGAAGTTTGTGAATAGATTTCACTGATAATAATAGTAATAATATATAGTAATATATGATAATACAATAAATTCAAGATTCTGCCAGAATATTTAGTGACACGACTATCGTCAAACTTAAACCAGTCCGTTTCGTCTTTGACCAATGCGTAATAATGACCGGATTCAACGACGGAACCACAGTGAACAATGACTGCATGAAGATTATAATAGTGGTCTGCTAAATCGAAGTGTTCATCTATTTCGAACCTTCGTAAGGGTTTGGTGCTTTCGTCAGAGGTTGCATATTCGGTAATACGGTCGACCATCACTTGTTAGAAGTTCTATTTTCAGATGATTCAACAAAAAGCTTTGCACGGACTGGTTATCAGTCATATTAAGAAACCCTGGTTAAGTTCTAAGAAATAACATACGTTTTTGCTACCTCTTCAATATGTATTACAACGTAAACTAGTGAGGATTTTTCCAGGAAAAGACCTACAAACACAGGACGAGATAGACTGTACGGAATCATTCAATCCAGAGCGGCTAGGGGTATTGATTCTGCTATTTTCCTGCTCACGAAGAGTATTGAACAAGAACCCCAAAAATTTGGAACAATCCTCTTGTTGTCTCAATAAGTATCTAGTGGACTTCAAAGACTCTAGGAAATCAGTTGGTGGAAAAGATGATAAATTCTCACGAAACTGCAGCTGCATGAACAGGTGTTTGAGTTCTCGTTCTCGTTCTCGTTCATCGTTATAACCTCGTTCTTGAAATTTTTGGTCATGAACAACACTTGCAAAACGCTTTTGATGTAGGAATTGTTCCCTAAATTATCCAATCCAACTTTCTCCGCAAGATTTTCGGGATAACTGTCTACTGATTAGTAAGGAAGAATCTGCATCAAAACCATTTCTCAAGCTGCAATCGATCCTTCCAAGTGATGATGGGTTTCATAGAGGGATCGATTCGGCTCTTGCTCCATGAAGAATTTTATCAGTTTGACTTTTTTAAATAAAAATATTGGCAGCCACTTTTTGACTGGCAACCTGTCATAAATGTATCCCCTATCATAAATGTATGTAAAAATTTTAGTTTGGTTAACTACGCTATGAACATAGTGATTTTGCGGCGGGATCCTGTTCTAGTAGGAGTATTATTGCTTTCCGCCAATACGAAAAAAACGTCCGGTATTTTAGAAAAACAATTCATGACTTTTGCGTTACGATACCGCACCTGCTCACTCGTCATTGTTGTTTATTCATTATTTTTTGGCCGAAAAGACACTACATGTATACCTCAGCCACCGTGATCACAAGATTTACCCCCCTGCGACTGTTTCCTGTTCCCAAGATTGAAGAGACCTATAATATATATTGTAGGACGGTATTTTGCAACGACTAATGAGATAAAAACCAAATAGCTGATAGAGCTGAAGGAAATAACAAAAAGTGCATATCAGAACTGCTTCGAGAATTGAAAAACACGCTGAAGAGACCTCGTATTTGTGTTTCACATTCTTCACAAAAATTATACAAACTATCTTTTCAAGAAAGTTTGTGGAACCTATATGTTCAGTTTTGTTTTACATTGTTATTTTTCATACTTTATTAACTTATTTTTGTTGAAATTTTGTTTTCTGGGTATTTGTGTTCCTAAATTTTTTCTTTTAAATAGATAGATCTTTATTGTCTAAAATGTAATACAATTTGTCGACAAAGGGTGTCATGTTTATAAGTACATAACATGTTAAAAATATATAAAATGTTGTTTTTTTAA